CTGTAGTGTTTTCGGACGGTACTAGCTCTTACTGCCAATATAGGAGTATTACATATATGCGTTAGCTGGATCGATTTGAAAAATACTTAAAAAAAAATCGAGTTTTTGATAAATAAAATTCGTATTAAAATTATTATTTTTTTTTTTTGGTGAGACACCCTAATGCATGTATAATAATTTTTTGTTAGCTTTTTTCTATTAAATTATAGGCAAATCAATGCAAGCAAGTACAACAGCCAGCTCGAGTGTTTGATTGCCTTGCCTCATTGTACTGCCGACGCTGCTTCATTCTTTTTGTATTACTTTCGCTTACCTATGTAAATACTTGTATCTTTCTTTTTTGTTCTATAACTCACTTATACATTAACTTAATATCGTTTATTAATTTTAATCTAATTCTACTAAACTTAACTACAGTGCGTGGGGGTGCATTTCACTAACATTAACTATAACTATATGCATTTTGTTGAGTGTACATTTTTGTTTAAGGTTTTCTATCCTTTTTTTTTCATTACATTATTGAAGCATTGTTGAATACTTGCAACTCTAATGATTTCTTAAATAACTTATTTCTTTTTGTTTTGCACTTAATTGTAAGTAAATGTCTTTAATACGCTAAAATGCTGCCTAATTTTCATACATTCAACATTCTAAAAATATGAAATTTTACAAACTAATTTGCTGCCTGAGTAAAATAAAATACGCATGTGTCTAGGATATTTTAACAAATGTTTTATAAATACATATATATGTTTGTATGTTTGTATGTATGTACATAACCATAGTTACACATTTTAATAATGATTAATGTATTAACAAATTATGAAAATGGAAAATATGAGAAAAATTATGAAAAAAGCCATTTAGTGCCATTTGCATAGTGGGGGTTAACTCAAATTCGGCAGTTATTTAACTTTGAACTTTTCGTACTAAAAACCTGCTGTTAACTGCCGAATGAGAATTCACTTGTCACTGTTGAAACGGCTCTTACAGAGATGATTAGATAAAATCAATCGCAGCGCGTGCGCAACTCGCTATTTTCGCTCACTCATTTTTTAATTTACGGTCAAATAGAATAGCTTAAATGGACTCAAATGTAATTTTGTCATTTAATGCTTAGTGAGAATTTTGGCACAAGGTTTTTCCTGTGTACCGGGAAAGTTGAGTTTAATTTTTTAATTTGTTCGGCTATCAATTTTATCGGCCTGGAAAATGAAAGATGGTGCGGTCGTGAAAGAAATATTAACAAATGAATTCAGTACGAACTTGATATTGTTGTTGGCTTGTTTTCCCGTTTGCCAAACAAAAAGAATTCGTTCGGTTTTCAGTCCAAGAAGAGTTTTACATTTTAACGCCTATGATTTCAGGTTTTATACTCTTGCGAACTCCTGAAATAAACCAAAAAATAGAGCATGAAAAAATTATCTTTCAGTGGTGAAGCAAGATTTACTTAGGTTGCCCGGTTGTGGCTAAGTTTTTTTTTGTTTTAATGTCAGACCAAGTAGATTACTTATGAGTCCATCTCTACAATAATTTTTATTCTTGAGTTAAGCGCTTTTCAAAGCTATTAAACCTCTCTGCAAATGGCACTGCTAGCAAAAAAAAATTATAAGATTTCTTAAAAATAAATATCAGCTGGTAATAGAAGAGTTGTAAACTAGTAATGACGTTGGGGTGAATAAAATTTAAAATACTTCTTTCTTACATTTGACTGGGAATTCATTTCAATATACGGAAATTTGTACATAAAATAGCGTTTCTTTGTATACGATTTTCAGTTAGAGGAAATTGTTGGCTAAGTGACTGAGTTCAATGAAGGAAAAGTAATAAAAGCTGTTTGACGATGATATCGGCACGACGATCCTGAGAGAGCATTCACCCAAAAGTACGCAGCCAACATTTTCGATGGCAAATTTTTTTTTATAATTTCCATCAACTGTCACCTTTAGGGATATGCCCTTCCAATAATTTGCAGAATTTTTGATTTAGTTAATAGGTCGTTCGTAGCGTTTTCCCCGAAAATTTGGGAGAAGGAAACTCGAACTTTGAAAGAGCTGTTTAACACTTTTTTGACAGTTCAACTCATCATTTCATGTTCTAGATCGCTTATCATTACAGTGAACTGTTCATTTATGAAACAACTTTTAATTTTCTGTGCAAGAAAAGTTTGTGTCTTAGGTCTTCCGTTGACCTCAGTTCTTTTTTGATTAATTTTAATATTCAAACATTTCAAACTAATGTGGACTCTACGAGAAAAATTTTACTTTCGCCACCATTCTTCGCGAATAGTTCAGAGAAGATTTGTTCCCGTTTCGTTCTCTGTCTGAAAGTCCTTGTGACTTTAGCTCCTAAATTGTGATTCGAGAGAAAGTTCTTTAGACTTTTGTCCCCATTTATTTATTTTCCAAAACGTTTGAGAGACTTTTGTTTCCATTTTGTTCTCTTGAAATGTTCCTGAAAGTATCGTTTGCAATTTGTTGTTTTTGGTAAAGTTCCACAGGGTTCTCGACAGTTTTGTTCCTATTTTGGTTTTGTTTTTGAAGCGTTCTTGGGAGCAAAACTGCGAGAAAGACATTTACCATTTCGAGCATACCTTTTGCTCTCGGCCACTGGATTTTAATAACACCAACAAGAAAAAGTATGGACCTTCAATTGAACTCAGTCATTTCATTTATATGTTAATATATACATATATGTGTGTGTGTGTGTCTTTTCTATGCATATTTATATTGTTAGCATGCACGTATGTATGAGTACATACTTTTATATTTGGATTCTAATGTTACTAAAATATTTTACTAAACTATTGTAAGCGTATTCGAGAAATGATAGTGTGCATTTGAAATATATTATTTGTGTATGTTTGTATGTACTAAGTGCTGGAATGGTTTCTTAACTGTAAAGTACTGTTAGTTTACAAGTTTAAAAGAAGAGTAACAAAATACAATGCCATTCAATAGCTAAGCAAAATATTTTCCTTTTCGTTGAAAGCAATTTTAGTTTAGGGTATTAAGTTAAGTTCTGATTTTTTCTTCAAATCCTTTATAGTATTCTAAATTGTAATATAATTAAAATAAGGTTCTCTGAAACCTAGTTTGTTGTTGTGATTTGTTACGATTAGGCGGAAATGTCAAGGCAGTTTAATAATCGTAGAGTTAAAATGCCATTTACATGCGCCTTTTTCTGAAAGAATTTTTACATATTTTCTATAAATCGCAAATAAAAACATGCTTACATTTGTGTGAACAAGAAAATATCCCTGCAGTGAAAAATTAACAACTGATAAAAATATTCAATTTGTAGTTAGCTTTTTTGCGTTATTACGATAATTACCTCACTTTTAATTAGCTACAACCTGGGAACGTAACCGTTATGAGTTTTTTCAAAAAATTCGATGAACATACCATATGTTTTCGATAAAAGATGAGATAATAATTAAAATTTGACTTTTATTTTTTTCGGTCAAAAATAACAGCAAAAATTTGACTTACATTTTTTTGATCAAAAATAAAAGTTAAATTTAGAAATTTTGAATTTTACATTTGATCGAAAATTTTTATTATTCAACCTCATTGCGTATGTCGTAAATTAGGCTAAATTGTACGACTCGACAAAATTGGCATTGTCTACTGTCGTGCTGAAATAAGTAAGCGACGAAAATCGTCGAAAACTATACAGTGCTGCCAAGTTTATCCGTTTTAATACACTAGTCGAGTGGAAATTTTAGGCAATGACGTGAAATTTTCGATACGATTCGACTCTCGAAAAACGACTTGCATTCGACACGACTCTCGCAATGAGGGTGATTATTTTTGATTGGAAAACTAAAAGCCAGAAATACTTTAACTTTTATTTTCGCTCGAAAATTTTGACTTTTATATTTGCTCGCAAAAATTAAATTAAAATTTTAACTTTTATTTTTGATTTAAGAAATAAAAGCCAAACAAAATATACAGTCAAACTTTAACTTTGTATTTTGATCGGAAAAATAAATACCAAATTTTGAATTTTACATTTAATCGAAAAAATAAACTTAAAATTTTTATTTTTATTTTTGATTCGAAGAATAAAAGCCAAAGAAAATACACAGTAAAACTTTAACTTTTATTTTTGATCAAAAAAAATCAAACTTTTCTTTTTGATCGAAAAAAAATAAGATTCAAATTTTAACTGTTACTTTTGACTGATAAAATACCGGTCAAAAAACGATTAGTCGTTGACTTTTTTGAAAAAAAAGCTAAGATTTAGAACAATTAAGATTAATATTCCTTAGCTTACAGGCGTCATACTGCTCTATTCAAATATTACATAGACAAATTCTTTCCGTCGGACTTCTTGATTGGAAATTTCAATAATAACTGTTCTGTTCGATCCCCGGCTATGAAAAAACCAATTTAAAGTGAGTTGTAAAGCCATGCAGGAGTTATGCTGCCGTAATCGGTAGTTGGTTTTCTTGAAAAAAGTTTCTACCTACAAGAATTATTTTCGTAATTTTACAATATCATTTTGATGTTATGACTGCTGGAATTCGAATATCGGACCCCAGCTAAAGCAGAATTTGTAAACAAATATTTAAATAAGTAATGTTAATGAAAGTAAATAAATAAACGTGTAAAAATTTTTAATTGCTGCTTTATGTCCAAAGATAGTTACTTACAAGTTAGTTGACACCTAATGTCACCTCTTTTGCCATTGTCCCAAAAAATAGTTGGCCTTTTTCGAACAAAATAGGCAGGACGTAGTCAGCAATTGTAGATTAAAGTTGCTGCAGGGATATGACAGTGAATTATAATAATACAACTAATCACACGCAGGCATACATAATGGCTGCGTTTCTTTATACATTCCGGATAATCCCATTTCACAGCCGGAATAAACAGAATGCTTTTGAAATATACGTTAACATATCATCAGGAACGTTCTAAAGAATAAGTAAACAAAACAGTTTATTCCAAACGTTCAGAATGAATAAAGAAATTCAGCCAATAATTTAAATAGTTACAAAAGCATACAAAGCAAAAATATACACACCTATATAATCTAAATACATATATATATAGCCACAATATAATTTTTTAAAAATCAAGCAAATAGTCGCCATGACTACTCCTCTCCAACATTCACCCATGCATTCATTAACAAAAAAAAAAAAAAAAAAACAACACACACTCTATACCAAACATTCAACTAATTGCTAATTCAAAATTTAAATGTCACATTAAATGTGCGCAACTCCATGGGATTCAGCAATATCTCAGCAAACGAATTCAAACGCTTGCGTTCACCCTCCCGCAGCATGCCAGTTAAACTTGTCGTTTCCAGTCGCGCAATGTGCAACCTATTGAAACCCAACTGGCCCAGACCACTCGCCGATGCATCACATACACGCGATATATCGATATTTTGCCCAACAGCACAATCATAGCCCTGTCGCTGTAACACCATCAACGCTGACGCAGATGGAAAGAGCTGCAGTTGCTCCTCGGAGAGTGTACGCAAATTAAGCAGATGCACATCACATGGCAGCGCATCGCGATCGAGTAGTGTTGCTTTTGGCTGCAGCTGCACTGCTGGTGCATCGAATGTCTCGACAAAGTATAAATTCGGTGGATAACGTAGCCCATTGGCAAGTTGATTGGCCAATAAACTGGGTATTTGGTAGGTGTTTTCATTTTTCGTTGGCATATCTTCGATGAGTACCCAAAATTTATGTCGTGTCAGTCGACTATCGACAATACCTTCACCCATGCCGCGATAATCATCGTACAGTGTACGGCGATCGAGCATCACTTCCAGCTGACCGGGCTCATAGGAGGCAGCTCCTTGCGCATGCGTGGTGAGTAAGGTGAAGCGTACGTGTGAGTCCTGTATGAAGGCGCCGCTTGTGATGGGGAAGTAGTTGCCCTCAATGCCAATTGCGGGTACTTTGATACGTCTGCAAGGAAGAAAATATAAGTTTTTGAGAAATTATATGAAGTAGATTAAAGGCGGCAAGTGAATAGATAGTTGGGGTCGTGTGAGGTGCTTTCAAAAGTCTATTTAGGTGTCGAGATCTAGTCTGGATAAGTTGTGGATCTCGCAAGGTAGCCGAAGCCAGGCTAGAGTTAATAAATGTGGCGAATGTCTATGGACGTCGTTTATTGTCTGTCTGTACAACGTCAGTTCCGGTGGTTGTGTGGTCTATTACTAACAAATGTCTGTTCGGGCGTATTCCACAATAGCAGCCGAACGGAAATTGGCTGCTGAACATAAAATTATTTTTCCTGACGGGGAGCATTGTGATCTCGCTATGCATATGGTGTTCAGTCGATATCAGAAGGCATCCCGTTGCTGACGGAAGTTCGATGTATTGACAGACCTGGACCTGTAACTTTGCCCACTACGTCCTACTACTCCCCTAGTGGCCATAGTGACGTCGCATAATTTAAAACCGGCCTGTCAATTACCTTTTATGTTGCCAACAACTTGTCCTTAACTTGACATTAAACCTTCCTCTGGTGAGTTAGGAAGCTTCGAAATGTAGAAGTTAATTCTTCTTGGCTTCGAAGTTTGGTCTTGAAATTGTGCTGACTTCAGTCGACCACTCAGATAATTTGCCGTCCACATGTTTGTTACACAGGGAGAGGGGAGATCCCATTGATTTATAGTAGGAGTGACAAACGGTGTTGAAGGCTTTTGATAAGTTCAAGTGATGCACTTTATGGTAACCGGTTTGTATCTGAGGGAGTATTTAGTAAGTGCCTTCACTTCTGTGGAAAAGAATTTATCCCCTTTATTGGCTGTTTTCTCGGGTTTCTATACTGGGACCAACCTCCAGACTTGTATTAGAGAGGTATTTTACTCGAACTAGTTCGATAGGACTAATGACTTTGGAGGCTTTTGCCTTCTTGTTGGCCACCTTTACTTTATCGCTGTTGACAGTATGTGAGGCATAACAGGTTTTGGGAGGTTATGCAGCCTTCTAGTTGCCGAGATTTGAGTCAATACGTGCACAGACCAGTGATGACACATGTAGGGAAAATTCCCTGGCTGGAAAAATGCGTACGTAGGGAAAAAGGGCACATTTTTATATATCTTAAAATGTAGGGAATTTTTGAAATGTGAATAAATATTTGTATGATTCTATCTATTTTCTAATTTGTGATGGCTAAAAACGTATATGACCATCATTAGAATTTCCTCATTTATGTTTTTTGCTTTTGCTGTTTTTTCAAAAATAATTTTTTTTTTATGTTTTATTTTCTAATAAACACATACTGTGATTTATTTATATAAAAAAGGTATGTATGTGCTATATTGAAATAATAATATATAAGGGTATATCTAAACTGACGTTATGTGACAAAAAAATTTAAAAAGACAAAATTTTAAAAATGTCTATCTAGATTTGCATAGCAATTGAATGGTCCCTTATTCAGTAAAAAAAAAAAATACAACTGTGTGAAGTGGATTTTGACTTCGATTACAAAATTGCAAAACTCTGCGAATTGGGCAAGAATATTTGTATAAAAGTTTTTGTAGTAATATTGGAAATGTTTAAGGCTAATTTTTCAAGTTTTTAAATGTAGAAATCTTAGTCAGATATAGGACTTAATTTTTTTACGCGGTAGACTATTCGCTGGAAACACCCATATTTAAAACAAACCCGTATTTTTATTCAATCTATGTAACTGATTAAATTTGTTTAATTGTGCCTTAATAAGGTATAAGCCAGCTTTCATAATAATCTTGTTGAAAGCGATGTTGAAATACTTAGAAAACCGCCTTATGTAAATGTGCATTTAATTCTGAAAATTTCGTAACGCTGCTGGAACCAAAATATTGTAGGGAATTTCGTAGAGAATTTTTTTTTTTTGGGCGTAGGGAAAAGTGTTGGTAGGGATTTTCGAAAAAAAACATGTGGCATCACTGACACTGACGGCTCGCGAGTCAGACGCAATGGCGCCTATAAAGCCACTTAGATGCTTGCATTTTCAGAATATAAAATTTTTTTAAATTGAATTTTTTTAACAAAAATATATCTATGTCAATAACAGAAACCATATAATTAAGCTTTGCGAAAATTCGACAAGCTTGAAAAAATTTCAAACTTTTTAATCAGAATTTATTTTTCTGGTTTTGCAGTTGTATGTCCCATTCAACTTCCTTTCAATAAAGTGCAAGGTAGAAATTACTCAAAATTCGTGTGGATTTTTTATAATTTTTTTGCGGACGTTGTTGTGCATTTTCTAGCAGACAAAAAAATTGTCTAAATACCCACACAGACCTTGTATGGAAAAATATGCGAAAAACCTTCAACCAAAAAAATTCTCAAAAATTAACGCGCACTTTGAACCAATATTTTGAAATTTGTTGAATTTTTCACAAAGTTTGTCGCTTTGATATATTGGGTTTATGTTATTGATTTAACTCAAGAAAAAGGAAAAATTAATATAAAATGACGCACAAGAAATCGAAAAGAAATTTTCTCTATCAAAATGTCCTAAATCAGTTTGCAGCTCTCAAGAAAAAATGCACGTAATTTACAGCAAAAGCAAAGTACTATTTCAGCCACCAGAGCGCTGTAAACAGCCCTTTATAAAAAAAATTATTAAAACTCAAAAAATCGGATAAACTTGACAATATAAACATCTAAGTACCGTTCGTAAATCATTGGCCACATACTGTATATAAAATATTCTATATTATTTGTACCCACTCACTTGTGATATTGGAAACCATTTTGATCGCTATAGAATACCGGCAATTCGGCCACAGTGTCCGCTTCCTTCAGCACATCGTCACGCTTCACCGTTATAATATTATCGACATCAGTGACGAAACGCATAAATAACTCTGTTTCGCGATTCTTCGGTGGTGGCTCAAAATCTATATCATTCTCAATATACATGGCCGCATCCAGGTGGGTGTGCGTATTGAAAATGCGCACAGTATGCGCCAAGAATGGACCATAGATGACAGTAACATCGCTGGCGATGGGACCCGCAGAGATGATAATACGCACATCCTCATACTGATCGAGCACATCCTTTTCAGCTTCATTCTGTTCAGGATCGGTCTTGAAAAGATAAGCGCCTGAATGGAATTGTGCGCTGCGATAGGCCGCAAATTTAATAGCGCATTGCATGGGACGTAGGACCTGCTCATTCTGGCCTTTGCGTGTGACTGTCTTAAGAAAGCCGCTCTTTTCATCGAAAAGTAAACGCATGAAATTGTTTTCGAGTTGAATATCACCTGCGGAAGTAGAATTAGTAAAGTGACTTTACTTAAAAGTTTAAATATCAAATGAATATCCTACCCGACGGTTTTGCTCTGATTACAAAGTCTGTGCTTGTATTTGGCGGCGCTGACGCTGTGGTATCGGTACAACCGTCACAATAAATCGTAGCCATTGTTGGTTGAGTGAAATGCTTTTCGTCCACCACCACAAGTGTGTAAGTAGCAAGTGTGAGCGCATCTAATTCGGCAATAAACATCACTTCATACTGACGACTGGAAACACGTATGCGTCCCATGCCGCTGTTGGCGCCCACACCACCGCCCAGCCCCATCTCATAGGCATCAGTTATATTCCAAACTGGGTTGATTTGCATCAAACGCATCTCTTCGCCGAGCTCATTCAACACTTTTACATTCGGCACTGGTGAGCGTAGCGTAATCACCTCCAAGCGTTTTTGTGTTAAGGCGTTAAAGATCACAAAGGATGCAGTGCCAGCAGCATTCGAATTCAAATCATCAAACTCTTCAACAATACCATTGCCACTCAGCGGTATTGGCGTTTTACGTGGCAATTTACTGAAATTATCGCGTTCCAATTCGCTCAGCAGGAAATTGTGTCGCTCACTGCCATCCTGCAAGAGCATTTCAATACTGGATTCTTGCATCTTCACCGCATCTTGTATGCTTTCGAACAAGCGCATGCCATAATCGCGCATCACTGCGGCCTTTGAAGTTCCCGTGATGGCATCATGATGCTGAAAGAGACCCAGATTGCGACGCGCATGTATCATCTTTTCGTAATTTTTTTCGAATATTTTTATAGCATTGACATGATGCTGCTGGCGGGCGGTATTGTAAGCGATGGTGAAGAGTATTTCGGCTGCGCGTAAATTGTGCTCCAAATCAGCGCTAAGTAGCTTATAGAATGGGCGTGTGGTATAGTAACCAGACCAGTAGGCGGGACGACCCTCTGAGAAGATATCCGAATAGACGAAGAAATCACCCTTGAGCGTCGGGAAGGAGGTGCTGCGTCGACGTATCTCATTGAAGTAGTCGCGAGGCGTGCCTGTGCGGGAGAAATTTAAAGCGGATGAGTATCTAAGTCTTCTTTGAGCAGTTTTGTAAATATGCACAACAAATAAATACTTAAAAAAATGGAAAACGGCGTGAAAACCAGGTAGTTGTGAAATTTGATGTGTAACCATCTGTGTACAGCTTGAAAAAGTATTAGGCGATTCAGATATATGTATATACATAAATAGGTTATATTAGAAATTAAATTTGTATTGATTTCATATCATTTTATTCATTTTGTTGGGACCAGTATGCGTAACTAGTTTTAAACTATACTCAAATCAGTCCCAGAAATGTCCTAAAGTTGGTATAAAAAACCCGTGAACTTGTCCCGAAATGATCCCGAGCAAGTCTTGAAACGATCCCGAAATGGTCCCTTACTAGCCCCAAAATGATCCCGAACTAGACCCGAAATGTTCATGAAATAGTCCTAACTCGTTCGGAAATGGTACTGAAACAATTCTGAACCAGTCCTGAACTAGACCCGAAATATACCTGAAATAGTAGTGCACTAGTCCCGAAAGGTCCTGAGCTTGTTCCCAAATGATGCCAAGAAAGTCTTGAAATGGTCCCAAAACAGTCCCTTGTTAGTCCCAAATCATCCCGCACTAAACCCAAAATGGTTCTAAAGTAGTTCTGAACTAGTCCCGAAATTGTATTGGAATAGTGGTGAACTAGTCCCGAAACGGTGCTGAAGTTCTCCCGAACGATGCCGAAAAAGTTTTGAAATAGTTCCGCAACGGTCCCTTATTAGTCCAAAATCATCCCAAACTAAACCCAAAATGGTTCCAAAATAGATCTGAACTAGTCCCGAAATGGGCCTGAACTATGGCCATGATGATAGTCCTGAAATCTTTAGAAATAGTCCTGAACTAGACTCACAATGGCGCTAAAATAGTTTTTAACTTGTCCCGAAAGAGTCCTGAACAGATCCAGCAATGATCCCAAACTAGACCCGAAATAGTCCTGAACTAGTGATACAGAAATGTTTATTTTTACACACAAGAAGCAGTTACAGATTTTCTGTTCGGTTAACGGAAATTTTTACCCATACACCACCAACTCCCCACAAACTCACCAAAAGAAATGTCCACATTATACAGCCGCTTATTGGCCATTATATGATCGATTAATTTCTTATAATTCGTATATTGTTGATCCACTTCACGCTCCTTATTATAGCGGAAATCATCGCCGACCGGTATGAGCGCCACATTGTGTGGAAATAGTGAGGCAGTACGCGAATATTGCTCCAATAAGGTTTGCGCTTTAGATTCAACATTGTCATCGGTTATGAATTGCGCCTTCACCGAGTATTCGGTGTACTCGCCAGGTATTTTACGAAAATCAAAATTCAAACATATGAACGGATGTGGACCACATGAGCCCTTAATCGAGTATATGTCGAATGGCATATTGTGTGTTAGTAGTTTGCCATGTTGTGTTGGCGCTTTGTCGCGTTGCTGCCAATATGGTGTCCATATGAAGTCGCCCTTTTGCTGGCGCGCAAACCATTGCTTCCAAGCGTAGTGTATGCGCTGTATTATGGCGCCTTCGAAATTACTGCCAGACAACAGATATGGTACAGTGCTGCCATGCCCGAAGGGATCAATCGACCAGCCGACGGTAGGTGTAACATTCAAATTGTTGCGCAACCATTGATGGCCTTCGATTAGTTGATCCAGCATGGCATAGAGATGCACATTTGCCTCGTCGGTCATAACCCAACCGCCTGTAGTGATTTCGAAACGTCCCGATTTAATCAATTTCTTCAATGCGCGTTGCTTTGTCGGATGCGCCTGGTCCCACCACAGTTGTAGAAAACTAATTTCGGACCAAATAAAGGTCATATCGGTGTATTCTTGCATTTTGGTTACGACCAAATTGAGTATCTGCCGAGAGTCCGATTGGAAATAATTGACGAAAGTCTTCAGCCAGCCGGGATCGTTGTGTGAATGTGGCACCACGAAGATCTGCAAAGAGGAAAGGAACGATGCAAGATTACATACAAAATATTTATTGGCTTGGAAGACGTTTATCGTAAAAAACTTGTAACCAAGTCGAACTTACCTTCAAAGGAGGTCGTTTGAAATCCTTCTTTTGTGCCTCAAAGCGTTCCTCGAAACCGCGATCCCAATACTCTTTTGTATGAATCCATTCAGGCTGCAAAGACACAATTTGAATGCATTAGTAAATAAAACTGATACTCTGATTATCTTGGGAAGAATATTAAGGAAATTTATCTAAACGCGTAAATTCCTCGCTTCTAGGAAAAGATCCTTTTTGCATGCGTATAAAGAAGCTTTAAGCAGGTATTCTAGGATTGATACCAGGTTTGGAAATTTGTAGTTTCTGACTCCATAATCAAAAAGATCAAGAATTCCAGATTGGGCAAACCCTTGACCCTTGATACGTACATTGGTAAACGAACGGTTCCAGAATTATTGACACAGCAGATTCAGGTGTCTATGGACCTGGCACCAAACTATCGATTTCCATGCGCATCCACGGTGTTCCAAGCTGAAGTTTTAGCAATTATAAAATGCACCAAATTAAACCTTGAAAGGGGTTTGAAGGACGTCTTTCTAGTTAAGTTATCTTTTCAGATAGCCAAGCAGCCATCCGGTTCCTCTCAAAATAGGGTGATGAAATCGTAACTTGTTAAAGACTGCTTTTATACGCTTCAAATTCTGACTGCAAACAAGTTCAGTAACTCTCTGCTGGGTGACAGGTCGCTGTCTCTTCGAGAACCATAATTACTGAGAGTACGAAGTTAGTACTGGGAGTAGGTGGGCGCGATAGAAAAACGAAGCTCTTTGGCTACCCTTTCAATAGATCGGATGTTGTCCAATGACGTAAGGATACTCTCCGGTTACCACAACCAACTACGATTTCATATGCCCCGAGTAGGTGTTATTGGAGAATTGGATCGCCGGCTCTGCCTGAATGACTAATTAACTTTCGAACATAATTTTTGTGACTGCCTTACCTAGACAAAGAGTGATTTATTTTAGTTAACGCCTTAGAAGGGAGCACTACATAATCCCGAATTTAAAGATCCCGACAAGGCATAATCTTGACAGTTTTTAAAAATTCATACAATAAACAATCCAGACAGGACATAATACAGATATACCAAAATCCAGACCAAATAAAATACAGATAACACAGTATTCAGACAAGATAAAATCCCGACAACTATAAATCCCGACAAGACACAATCCAGACAAAAAAAAAATACATTGCTTCCGGCAGTGAAATTGTTGACTTATGTTTAAATATAAACGTTTATTATTATATTTATATTTATATTATGTGTGGCGTAATTTCATTACACACTCGCCTCAGAAATAAGGAACTCGACTATCAAGACCCTTTTCGGACGTTTTGGGCATACTAGGTTAGAGATACAAAAGACCTTTTCGATCGTAATGCTGTCATATCCGTGCATTTATCTTAAGTCTGTAATGATGCCTCTTAAACTGTATCTGGAAAGGGGACTATCGTTAATTTTAACTAAGCCAGTCTTCAATTTCCTGTTGGACCATAGATCTTAAAGTTCCTTGGAGTTATATCATTGTTTCTGAAGACAATGGACTACGTCGGCAAGAAGAAAGTGGAAAGGAAGAAAGATACGTTCCTATAATTACAGACAAACTGTTTTGCGGTTGTTTTTTTAACCTGGGACACAGAAAACTTTTTTGCTGATTCAACCTATTGTACATATGTATGTATGTATGTGCTATACTAGTATATATGGAATACATTATTAAGCTCAAGCCACACAATTTCGCTTGGCTACATCAAATATCCGATTTATGTACTACAGGCTGAGAAGCTATAAATTATTACCTGAAAATCAAATTTCCCGTACTCCTCATTCGTGGTGATATTCGTGTCACTCTCAGCCATCACATAGCAAACATCACCCCAATCAGGATTCTTGGTGGGCGCGCCATTTGCGACCATGTCGATGCCATCGTTCACATTGAAGTTGCCGTCGCCGTCGCCGCCGTCTAATGCTGTTGCGCCTGCTGACAGTTGTGCTGCGGTGGCGCCACTGCCAGTGGCCAATTTTTGTGCGCCGTTCTTCCCCTCACTCCCCCCACCACGCATATTCCTCACTTTGGCATTATGCATATTCGTTTTATACAATTGTTGCAGCGGTGAATTCAGGCTAGTTGTCATTGCACCGCCACCGCCGCCGCCGCCACCGGCAAACCCGATACTTAGTGCGACAGTGGTGTCTTTGCCCGGCTGAAGTGTTACTTGTTGTTGTTGTTGTTGCCCCATGGAAATATAGTAAAGACAGAGTAGGATCGTGACAAATGCGGACAGCAGACCGAAACAGCGCGCTGAGCCGCGTCGAAATAATTTGAATGTCATTTTGCGTGACGGCGCTTGTCAATTGCGCTCGAGTGTGTCACGAAGGAGGTGGGTGTGGAGGCGATCCAGAGAGGTAATTCAGTTGCAATCGAAAGCTACATATATACAATATTTATGTATGCATTTCGTTCTCAGCAGCAACTAATGAAATGTGGTATGTTTTTGTTGTTAATTTTTTATTGTTCTAATTTTAGTTTTTATTTTCGAATTACATATCTATTTTCCGAATGATTTCCGCAATTTAATTCGATCGCATTCGATGCTCGATTGTCCCTTGAGCTGTCTTAGTACTATAAAACATAGTCAATTGTTGTTGCTCAGCGCAGTTCAGTGGGTAGGGTAGCCAGTGCAGGTCAATTTAAATCAGCTCAGTTACGTAAATCCGCAAGCATTGTTCATTTGGTTAGTTAACACAGAATATTATTCGAGTTCGTTGTTGTTATTGTTGCCATTGGTTTAGTTAGATATTGTTGTTTTGCGCTTTGTTGATTGGCATTCGATTTTCGATTTCGGTTGTTTAGTTGCATAAAACATTTATCGTTCTAAGAGCTGTTGCGTATTTTCCCTTCCTCCAATTTCGGTATTACGTTGCAATGTTGTTTTAAAACTAATTTAGCTGCCGGACATTTGCAAAGCTGGTGGCTGTTCTAAGCTGTCGGCGTGTCCGTTGCTCAATTGGCATTTATTGCGGTGTTGTTGTAGTAGTTGCAAATGTAATCTCGTTTATGTCCGGTGTTTTGTTTTCGCTGTTGTTGGTCTCACACCAACTGTAGCTGCCGCATCATTTTGGCTGTCACTCGATTTATCTGAAAATTAAAAAAAAAAATTAAAAGTAATGGAATTAGTGAGCTTGTTTTTGGTTTGTCAGTAGTGGATTAAAATAGAAATATTTGGAAAATTCGTAGAACAGTACTTTTAATAAAAATAAAATTAAATCAACCAAAAATTGGTTAATATTGCCAAATTTGAACTTAAAAAGGAATCGAAAGTGATTTTTATCTAATATTGCCATGCCATGGTTGATATTTTCAACATTGACTTGGTAATATTAATCACACATTTGTTAGCATTAAACAAATTTTTAGTTGCCGCTTTTTAGTCTGAGTCTTATATTTTGCACTTCGGATACATTTCAAATATTCAACTCATATCACATTCTCGGTGCGCCTGAAACTGATTTAAATAAAAGGTCGTTGCACTGAAAATATTCTTATGGATTTTGAATCCGTGAGGCTCCTTGACTATTTTAAGGCCATAAGGTTTTTTGGGAAAGGGTTCCTTCCAGCTTTGGCAATAATCGATTCATTTTTTAATCAATTAGTTAATTGGATTAAATTCAATCCGATTCCTGTTAATCATGATTAATTTTGATCTGATTAAACAGTTAATCATAACCGAAAAAAAAAAATTTAATCTTTAACCCTTAATTTGATTAAGTATTTTTGGTGATTAATTAATGTATGCTAGAATTTTTGTGCAGACAAGGTCAGTTAATCGGGTATAGCTAAGTCGGTTTTTCTCATCAATCTAAGCAATTTGGTGTTCAAATTCATTAATATTTATTCCAACAGACGTTATGCAAACTAGGTTTTAATATCTCCCTGCACATTTGCGATGTGTTGTAAAAATTGGCAGTTTATTATTACTTATAATAATAATAATAATTATTATTATTTTTTTATATTATGTGTTTATATATGCGTGAAACACAAAATAATAACTAAAACTGGTGTTTGGTTTCAAATTCGGACAAACTACATAGACCACCTATTCAGATTTTCTTTTTAATTGGATTAACGATTAATGATTAAAATTAATGAATCGTAATCACAACTGACGATTAACGATTAAAAAAATTTTATCATTAATCGTTCGGATGTTTAGGATTAATTAATTTTAATCGTTAATCGCGATTAACATTTTAATAGTTAATTTTTAATCGTTAATCAGATTACTATTTTGCCAAAACTGGTACCTTCACCATTTATGTATATGCATTGGCTAAAAAAATTTCAATAATAATGAAAAGGAAATGTGGAATTCTACTGTGTTGCCATATGAACAAAAATGGGAAGCTTATATTTTCGCTTAGTTTTTAAGTAAATTTTCTAATTTATAAAGTTCGATACAAAAAACGCTATGTGCACAATTACCTTCAACACACAAGGGTTAAATAAATATTTTTAGCTGGAAATTTTGTTATCAGTTTAGTTTATTAGATAATACTCGTATGTATGTTAATTATCTAAATGCAATTAAACATATTCTGGTTCTGCAATCAACTTCTGAAATAAGGCGTTCTTCAACTATTTGGCACATTGCAAAAAACTCTCTGTACAATCATTGATATTCCGCGTTATTTGAATGCACTAACCAATTTTAAAATGTAAAAAGTAAAAATCTCTGTAATTTTTCATTCAATTGTATATTATTAAAATTCTAGTTTCCCAGACACATTGATGTGAAATTAGAAAAGTTTCATGCATTTAATTACTATAAATAAACTAATAAGTGGTTATTAGAAAATAACATTGCTTCGTGGCTTTGCTTTCACAGAGCTTTAAGGAAAATAGTTTTCACAGTTCAATCCACAGGCTGCGATTTTTTATACATTCGTGTTACACGTTTTTTTTTACAACTTTATTAATTATCGATTTTATGTGCATATGCAGCAATTTGCATTTCGTACGATTGGCGCGGTTGCGTGCAACAGCTGTGTTTCGTGCAGTTTACTAACTCACTCATCCGCTTACTGGTTGTCGAAAGTTTTGCGTGCGGAAATGAATGCGCTGAAGGCTAACACCCAGTTAGCATAAAAAAATCATTACATTATTCTTACGCAAATTAAGATTTTTCAGCAATCATTTGTAAGTTGAGCGCCAATTAAAAAAAAAAAACAAAAACAACTAGTAGCGGCTATGCTCAAGCATAAAGCCAAATTGCAGAGATCAGAGAATTTCACCTCCGATATTTCTTTTCAGACTGATGAAGATGCGTTGTTTAGAGACGCCTCGATTGCAGACCCGGACATCGGCACAGAAAGTGCTCTATTGTTCCTCCGCATCGTCATCGTGACAACTCGTTCGCATTGAGTTTCAGAAGGTTTCTCGACTTTTTTCTATTTAGCCATGGCCATAATGATATTCAGACCCCAAAATCAACTTGTTTGGTTCACAAGTCATTTAAAATGGCTATAGAGTTCAGCTCATTACATACTTTTTTAATACTCATATAATCAGAAAGCCTCGTTCATTGGAATTTGCGGACCTACCCAGAAATCTCATCAGCTTTATCGTTTCTTTCGAAATTGCTATCTGCGGGCACTTCTCAAAGAATCGCTTTAAGACGGACAACATTTCTTACTATCCCTGATTTCATTAGTATAGCTTTGCTATCGATGAAGATAGACTTTTCCAACTGGAACCATGCTAGAATACTAGATGCGGCAATGGCAGCTTACAAGACGCTGCAGCCGTTTGGCAGACGAATAGGCTGACTGGTCTACCGATCCCCCGAGTAGACACTGTAGCCCGTTCCTTGCTCCATCAGTATAGATGGAGATACCATTATCTGACACTGGTATGCCTATGTTCCATTCGTCTGTTGTCGAAGACCAGTTGGCGGTGAATATAATTGTTTTTTTTCTTTTGGACAGTTTATGGATCGCAGTTACGAAATTTTTTAGGTTTCAAAATGCAGAGGTATACGAGACTATAACGTGAGAAAATTTTTTCAATTCACTTTTCCAGGACGTTTGATTTCTCGATTAGGAGATTTCGGTTGGCTAGCGAGATTGCCTGATCTGACAGCTTAGATTACTTTCAGTGGGGTTATATAAATTAGCTGGTCTATGTGAATAAGTCGAAGACTCTACAGACCCTGAAGAACAAGATTTGTCAAGAAATCGACATTCTAAAGACGGAAATCTTGACAAAGTTGATGCAAAATGCCATAAAAAGAGCAGAAATTTGCAACAACTCTGGTTGGCTTCCTATCACATATAATTTTTCAAGTATAAAAAAATGAAGTTACTTCCTTCAAATGTACCTGTGTTTGACGTTAAAAAAACATTTATGATTATTTTTGGGATGACAACAAACGAAGCCGGATGATACTTTTTGCGCAACCTTGTACAATATGGGTTCCTTGGAGTCCCAACTCAGCGTAAAGTACTTGTTGCTGGCTTCAATATTATAGTCAAATGAAAAAGATTTGGAAATGCTTTACTTCGAAAGCATTTTTGAAGTGGGTCGCCACCTGTTTAAAAGGTTAAATTCAATAATTAATGTGTTTAAAACGAAGAAGGTTTAGGATAAGCTTATTTCTGTAGTATTTTTAAAAAGAGCTACCATCTGTTCAAAATTTCAAACTGATTTTTATTAATAAGAAGAAGAAAAGGCTTAAGACGCATTGATTTCAAGATGTTTAAGGAGAGGCTTGTCAGCTGTTTATAAAAAGTAAAATTCTATTTCATTAAATAAAAAGTGGCTTAAGAAACTTTTTTAAAGGGTTGCCAACTATTTGCAATTAATTCGCAAGACAAACGATGTGTTATAATATACATAGGTATCAAACGGGGTTGGCAATATCAAATAGGGTTGACAATTCTTTTTTCTTAATATTTTGGAATAGGGTTGCCACCTGTTAAAAAGGTAAAATTCAATTAAATTCATAAGTCGTACGAAATGATGATGTTTTTTTTTGGGGGTTGCCACCTCTTTACTTACTTAGTAAAAATCTATTTAATTAAAAATTTAAGTGAGATATTACAATTTTTACACCAAATTATTTTGAAAGCATTTTACATATAAGAGGGTGGTTAAATTTCGAAAATTTAAATACGTTTTTTCAGTTTGAGCTAAGTAACGATGCGACATTGATATGAAAAACTGTAAAATATCAAAATTATTTTTTTTTATTAAATTTTATTTGTTTATTGGGTTAAGGCAATTGTTCAATCATTAACAACTTGTAAGGATATGCGCACATATATTTATGTACATTAGGTTGGTCCAAAAAAAGGAAAGTCGGAATTTTAACGCTCCCATCCCCTAGGATTGTTCTATGTCGAAAAAATATATCGCTTATTTTTATTTTGAAATAAAAAATGTTTAGAGGTCGCTCAATGCGCTTAAAAATTTGCATTTACATATTTTCTATGGGGAAAAACAACCTTTCGTAGAAATGGTGTAGAATTCTTGAGAATTTTTCGATCGAAACACTAGGGCTCTCTTCAGGAGACTTCCAATAAGAACACCCAATTTATTATTAATTTTTTAATGCTAACGCTTTTTTTATTGGCATTTTCTGGGGTTTTTGGTAGGCCTATAAAATATTGTTACTATGAAAAAATTTTTAAATAAACAATTGGTTATAATTATTGGGAACCTCCTCAAGAGAAGTCTTCCGATCGGAAAATATTGATTTTTAAGAACTCTATACCATTTCTACGCATAGTTGTTTTTTCCCTATACAAAATATGTACATGAAAATTTTTAATTGCACTGAGCGACCTCTAAATATTTTTTGATTTAAAAATAAAAAATAGTGGTATATTATTTTTTTTTTTTGGTATAGAACAATCCTAGGGGGTGAGAGCATAAAAATACCGACTTTACTTTTTCACATGCATTCTTGGACCACCTTAATGTACATACTTATGTATGCATGTAGAGCATATTTAAGTTCATTCGTTCGTGTCAACGTATTGCAATGATGGACCATTAATTTGCAGCATGCACGCCGCTGTTACTCTATTTATAATTGCTTGCTATTTTTTATAGTTTTTGTTAGTTCTTTTTTTTTT